TATAAATATATATATAAAAATAGCATTTTCATTTATTCACAGAGTAGTATCTTTTCACTTGCACTGAATGTGAAAGCCTGATGAAGGGACAAGTTGTACACTTCATGATTCACAGAGTTTAACAAATCGGAGAGACTTGTAGAAATGAAGCCCGAATTCTGACCTTCATGGCAATCAGTGTGGATTTCCATATTTCAGTGGAATTTTTTTTGCATAGTGATTCTTCTCTGCCAGGGCAGACAAAGAAGAAACAAAAAGCAACAGAAACTCACTTCTCCATGCAGAAATAGATATCTTTATTTATAAAAAAAAAGGTCTTGCCACTTGCCTTAAATAGGACATACCAACCAAGTGATACTGAGAGCAGTAGTGAGCAAATGACAATTATGTGCCTTTGTTTATGTTCCTTTTGATACCAGTTGACTGGCACTATCACCCAGTGGGATATACTGGGAGGGTGTGCAGAGCCGAAGGCTCTTGAGCCCATTTGTATGGACAGATAGGCTTGTCTCCCCGTTGCACTGACAACTTGAGATTTTTGGAAGCTTACATAAGGGCTTTCACTTTTTCTGGCTCTCCCTTATGCAGGCCAGCTCGTAGCCACCAATACAGTAATGGATCAACTTTGTTATTCACCAGAGGACGTGATAACGTGATGTGATGGAGCAAAGCTTTCCGATGCCACCTGAAGTTCTTTTCCTCCCCAAAATAACAGGGGCTGTTAGTAATGTGAAGGTGGCAACTTCTAGAAACCAAGGATATTGTTCTGGGAACAACTTTGCTGTTATGAATATGTCTTAGTTTAAAGTCAGATCTGCTCTGTTTCTGTATCACCTTGCTGTGCTGGGAGGAAGTTTTGCTGTGTTGCATGTAGTTTCCTCCCTTAGGTAGCCACTGACATTTAGTAGTTGTAAATCTGTATCAAACTGTCTCTGTATCCCTTCCCCTTAATTAACTTGTGGGTGTCTTTTATTTTTAATGTGTGTGTTTCAGAGAGAGAACATCTGGGGACCTTTTTTAATAATATCACCTGCCTCTACTCTTAACAACTGGCACCAGGAGTTTGCCAGATTTGTACCTAAATTTAAGGTAATAAGCATGTGCAAGAAAGTTCTTTCTGTTTTCTTGGAAGCAGACTGTTTTGTTCTCCCGAGTTCTTTGCCACATCTGGGTGCCTGATTACTTGGAATTTGAAACTCTGTAATGGGCCTGATTAGAAAAAAAATAAATGGGAGTTCTTCAGGTATATTGTGGATGTGAAAACATAGTAAGTTGGAAAACAAGGAACAATCAGTTACTGAAAAACAAGCTGCTTACCTGCTCCTCAGTGGAAGACATTGAAGTGTTGCAAAGGAAGGCTGGGAAAGAATGTGTACTGCTGAAATAGTGCTGAAATTTTAGACTTAAAGATAGACAAAAGTGTCAGAAGTTTGCAGTTAAATCTGCAAAGAAGAATATAGTTTAAATACATGAGCTGTTAACACAGTAACCTTTAATATGAAGACATCTTGATCATTTTTTTAAACATCTGGTGTTCTTTTTACAGAGAACAGTAAAAGACACCTAGTTGCAAGTAAGCACTATGGCAGTAACATCCAGGCTAATTATTTGAATGTCTTGGCTACTTAATAAGGTGGAGGAAAAGACTTGGAAGTATCACTATAAGTAATATTTGACTTAACTTTTATCAAGTAGCTTGCTCTGCAGATCCCTGATGAGACTGTATCTTGGTTATGGTGGTGTATAGTTTGAGGTATCTATTATGAAGAGTTGTGCTAGAACGAAGTTCAATACTGCGTGATTTGAGTGACTTGTATGTTGGGGTGAATTGGGATTACTGACAGTACAAAGAGACTAGAAGTGCTTAAGTTACTGAGGAGTTACTTAAAAAGACCCTAAAAATAATCCAGTTATGTATTTGCATAGTCCAGAATAATAGGGGCCCTGATTAAAAACCCTGAAGAAGAAAACAGAGCAGTTGGCCATTCTACCTTCTAACTTTCTCTCATTTCCTTTCATCTGTTCATTGTAGAGGATAGGCGAGCAGCTGTTTATACCTTCTCCTTCTTGTGAATGAAATACAGAAGACGTATCAAAAATACAGTCAGGATGCTTGTGAAAATATGACTTCCCCTTTTTTTACTTTAAAAAATCTGTTTCTGTCATTATACAGCTGTTGGGTTTATTGGATAATAAAGTTTAGCTTATCCATGGAACAGATGATGTTTAAAAAAGTTTTCTAAACTTATGATTGTCACGTTTACGACTTTGATCAATCTTTTTCAACCAGTTCTGTCCCTTCTAATCATACACAAGTGCTTCTAATCATACACAAGTGTGTAGTCAATTATGCTGGTAGTAAATCACAGTGAATTCATTTCTTCAGGTCTATGTCAGAATATGTAAAATAAAAGGTAAATAACTTTTTGATTAGTCTGGTTTTTCAATAGGATCCTTATTTAGAACAGTTGGAAGAGTATTCAACTAAAGGCACTTTGAAATTTGGAGCTTGTTGGTTGTAGTTCTTTCATCAGACAGAAGATGGCAGAACAATATTATCAACCAGTAACTCTGGTTTCAGTGAACTGCAAAGATCTGTTCTGAGTAATAGGAGCCATGACATTCTGAGCTATAAATGGATTAAAAGATTTCTCTGGCAGTAGTGCTTATTAAACATGTCCAGACCAGATGTTTTAATTTTATCTCAGTTTTCTGGGGACAGTTCTGAAATACGAAAACAATGGGATGACAGGGAATATTAAACCGGAGAACAAGCCCACTAGTCCTGTTGGCTTAAATGTAGTGGTTGAGGGCAGACCTCTGTTTCTGCCATAAGCAAAATCTAATTTTTAATTTTTAGAAAAACCTGATGAGAAGGTGTAACATGCTACTGGGCATTTTGAGATCTAGTCTTTGTGCTAGGCATAAGCTGCTTGATACCTTTGCCTGGAATGCTCTGTTTCTAAGTATTTTTAAGTGCTTTCCAGTTTTTTCTCTGTGTTAAGAAAGATAATTTCCCTTTTTGTTGTTTTGGAGAAAGAGGTCTGTCTTTCTCATTTTGTAGAATATATACTATAAAATTCTAGAGCAGGTATGTGTTTATTTGAAAATAATGTCTTTCTGCTTTTGTACTGTTCCAGGTGCTACCTTATTGGGGAAATCCCCATGACAGAAAGGTGATCAGGAAGTTCTGGAGTCAGGTAATACTGGCATGTCCGTGTGCTTTGACCATTTTTGATATTTTTACAGAATAAACCAGAAACTGCTGCTACACCCCACCAAGCTAAATGATGTATGGATACAGAATTCTGTTTCTTCATCCATGTGGTGGCATTTTCATTAAGATAATGAGACAGAAGACTTCTCTTGTGTTGGAGAGCAATGCAGTACAGGGCACTTCAGGGCAGTATGGAGTTCACTTGAAGAAACTAGAGCTCTGTAAATAAAGCAGGAAGTGTCTGTGTCAAGGATTATTTATTCTATTTGAGTAATCTAACTCAGGATGCCCAAGTTTAGCATCTCTGCAGGCCTGTCAGATTGTTCCTGATTTAACAACAGTATTTTGTAGGGTTCAATGCCTTGATCTTGTCTGGCACATTAAGAAGCATCTGAAGTTGTTCAGGGACTAATGGGCTGAAGCCCAGATCCACCAGTTGAATAATTATGCTGGAATGAATTTAAAAAGTCAGCTGGGGAAAAATGCAGTAATAATGAGAAAAGATTATGAAACAGAAGGCTGAAATTACAGTATACACAAGTGAACTCCTCACAGCATATTTATGTTATATGGACATTTGTTTCTTATTTTGTGGTTATAGAAGACACTGTATACTCAGGATGCGCCTTTCCATGTGGTGATTACCAGTTACCAGCTAGTAGTACAGGATGTGAAGTATTTCCAGCGAGTGAAGTGGCAATATATGGTGCTGGATGAAGCACAAGCACTCAAGAGCAGCTCCAGGTAATAAAATTTAACTGGAAATAAAATTGTCCCTCTGTATCAACATATTGAAGGAATATCAAGAAAACATCAAGATTACACAAATTGATAGAAGCTAAAATGGACACTCATAGGGCCCTTTAAGTGTCTAATTTAGTTAAGTATCTATAACTCTGCAACACTGGATTGATCCACTAGTTTCTTGCATTTAGATTTTCCTTCTCAAAATATGTAAAAAGTAATTGCGGAGCAGAAACTTGCATGGAGTACAGGACAGTTAAACAAAACAGTGAAATGCTGTTCACCTTCTTTCCTGACTGCGCACAGAATTCTGCCTAGTGAACAGTCTGTAGCCTTTAGTGTGTATGGCTCATATTGGCTCCATTAAATGCGTTATTTTGATTGCTTCAGTGGCACTTCCAGACAACAGTGAAGGTCAGGAGCCTGTGAATACTGTTGGCTGCAATAAAGCCCAAGCTTTGTCATAAGACTGTGCTAGAAAGTTTTCTGTTTGTTTTCAAGTGATGAATTTGTCCGTCTTTACTTCTGTAATTGCTTTCCCGTAGCCTTTGCCCAAGTTGCCACCATGCACAGTACCGTGAAGACTGCTTTAGATGCAGGCTCATTCTGACTGAAGTCTGTCTCTTTGGTGTTCTTCGGAAACTGCCCCTCGCCCCTCTAAGAGGATTGTGATATATAGCTCAGCCCTTATGCCACAGTGGCCCATACACTTAGTGTTGTGAAGTCTGAAAAATACGTGACATTCTGATTCATAATAATTGTTTCTTTTGGGAAGTTAATTATTCTGATGATGAGGTTTTATTAGTATCCAAGCCTTTGTATTAAAAATGAGTAAAAGGATACATAGGAAAATAAAATAAATTATGCATGTTTCTTTGTAATTTGTAAAAGGCTACTTCTTCCTGTAATTGTCCTTTGAAAGACTGCGGAGTAGCTGTGATGGTTTTACCCAGTGACCTCCAAAAGTCATTTGGGAAGGTCACTGGAAGCAGTTGGTCTTAAAATACCTTATGTTTCGTATCCTTCTACAAAAAACAGTTTTAATGATTTTTCTTAAATTTTATTCATCAGTGTTCGTTGGAAGATCCTACTGCAGTTCCAGTGTAGAAACAGATTGTTGTTGACTGGGACCCCAATCCAGAACACGATGGCTGAGGTATTTGGGAGCTCACAACAGTGGACTTTTCTTTATAACAGGAATATATATTAAATATTTATGAACAGCTGAGAAACTTCTATTTGTGTGGCTGTGGGATCATGCTTGTAGCAAACCACTGGCAAACAAATATGCAATGAGCTCTGGGAGGGCAAAATTTGGAAAGGTGCCACACATTCAAATAAAAATAAAACTGAAGATACCTGACAGTTAGTAATACCTAGATTACAGGATGAAATCTAATTCTTGTGGCTTTTCTTTCTGATGGCTGTGTTTCTCACTGCTTTCTAATGGTGTTCTGCTAAGTTGATATATCTGGTATTTGATTGCGGGGTGGGAAGATGATGCAGCTGGGTTTTTGTTTAATTTTGCCATGTCTTGTGATCTAGTAAAATGATATTGCTCATAAAGAGCTGCAAGGGCTTGGGATCCCCAATTACTTTGTCCACAGGAGGATGGCTTTTGCTGATCTGTTTTCTTCTGTCCTTTTAGCTGTGGGCCCTGCTGCATTTTATCATGCCAACACTGTTTGATTCCCATGAAGAGTTCAATGAGTGGTTTTCTAAGGACATAGAGAGCCATGCAGAGAACAAATCCGCCATTGATGAGAGTGAGTGCAGTGTGTACCTGCAGTAGTTTTTTATATTAAAAATCTATTGCCTTTTCCAGCTACTAGTGGATAAACTTTATCTCTCATTTTTTTGCATGAGAAATGTCATCTAAAGCAGAGGGTGACCAGTGGCACTGGAATGTTACGGATTGTTGTCCATAGTTTATGTCAAAGTTTATGTTTCTGACTGTAATGTAGCATGTGTAATGAATAGAAAAACATGTAGTAAAATGTTGATTTGCTACTTGTCTCCACTCCTCCTCTTTCCCAGATACAGGAGCACAAATATTTGAAGTATTTGTAAGCTTCTGCAGAGTACATCATCTTGGAGATCTCCTGAGTGTGTAACAAGCTCTAAGCATAAAAATTATGACACAAAGCACTAAACACCTTCTGAGCTCCAGAAGAAAAGCATAAAAATTCTTTAAAAAGAAAAAAGAAAATATTCACAGTAAATTTTAGAGGATAGTTATGTAGAAAAATCTAGCTAGGTAAAATAGCTGATTTGCACAGTTGGAACTTGTCACAAAAGAAAAGGCTTTAAGAGTTCTCAAATGCCCAGAACTTTGTTTTTACAGATTATTTAAAGACTGCAGTTGTCTGTCAATGCTGTATGCCCTGTTCCTGTGATGCTGTAATTTTGGGGGGCAAGACTTAAATCTGTAATGTGTAATGATCCCTTTTAATGAATTGGCAATGTCTCATCTGAAAATTCCTTCTTCAGTAATAGTGAGTGATAAATTTAAGGCCATATTGTTCAGCCCAGAGCAATACGCAACACATAAAATGCTTCAGAAGTTCTTTCTTTGAAGCAAATCTTTAGCTTCATAAGTTGAACAGTGTAGCTTGGCACTCATTTAGAAAAAGAAAACAGAGAAATGCCAACTCTGTGTTGTAAGAACTCTTATGGGGGGAAATGACTGAGCAGTAAGGGACTTAGTTTGTAGTAGAGCACCATATAGTTTTCTTCTTTGGTGAAGTAATTGTTCCTTCTTCCCCATTCCCTGTATTTCAGACCAGCTATCCCGCTTGCACATGATCCTGAAGCCTTTCATGTTGAGAAGAATCAAGAAGGATGTGGAAAATGAGCTGTCAGATAAGGTGAGAAAAAGTGTTTATCTGGAGTACTTCAACTTTATTGTCATAGCTCTGTTCTCTAATCTGTTTTTTTCGAACTCGTTTGTCAGTCTGCCTACAGGAAATTTGATTGTAGACCTTTCACGGACCTTCAGTTGTTGGCACTGCATCCCAGCAATCTCATAGATGTGAATCTAACTGAAGAAACCCTAATGAATAAACTTTTCTTCTAGGGAAAACATTTTGTTAAGTTACAAATAAAAAATATAAGTTGTCAGAAGTATCAGTAATTGAAGTGAAGGAGATTGATTCAGCAATGACTGGGTGATAAACATCTCCCGTTGCCTTTGTGAAGGATTTGGCATGGGTTTAGGATTCTTTTTGCTTGCTTGTACAGAGCAAGAAATGCATAGTGGCAACATCATACTCTTTTCTCTTGTTAGTCTCTTAATTTCATGTGGATGTTAGCAATACTGGATGATTTTGTGGTCAACGTGTCCCCAGGTTTTGGGACCACTGGCTAAGAGGCATCCACTTTGTTTTGATGTGCTTATTAATTTCTAAACTAGAACTTCCCACAGACACTGTTGTTATGTGATAAACTCGCCGTTATCATGGGCTCCTGACACCTGTTTAAGACAGCTCTAAGTCAGCAGCATTTTAACAGTAGGATAGTAAGAGTTAAGGTCAGATTTGAAGCTGATCAGCTGCAGATGTGATGTTTCTAGAGCTTCTTAAGAATCTATCTGTTTACTTAGTTGCGCTCACATACTTTTAAAAGTCCGTCTCCTACATCATTACCTGAGCCTTCCAAAACACACCTATCAGTTAAGTCTTTTCCAGGTTGGATCCTGAAATACAGATATGAATGCAACTGCCTATATATGTATTTTTTGAGAAAGTTATATTTCCCTTAAGATATGTTTCTCTCTGCTTTGTGCATACTGATGTGGTCATCCTCCGTTTCAGGGATAGAAAAGGCTGAATCTTCATTACTGTTTTGCAGATTGAAATTCTCATGTACTGCCAGCAGACAAGTCGACAGAAGCTGTTGTACCAAGCTCTGAAAAACAAAATCTCTATTGATGACCTCCTGCAGTCCTCGATGGGCACTACTCAGCAAGCACAGACCACCACTAGTAGTCTTATGAATCTAGTCATGCAGTTCAGGAAGGTAAGGCTATTTTAAATAATAATTTTTTAAAAGTATAGTAATTCATTAGCACAGAACTAAAATATGGCTTCTAGAAAACATCATATGAAGTTAATTTCTGGCATTTGCATGCAATTCAGTTGTGTTTCTGATGCAGTGTGGCATGATGTTGCGGTAGAAGAACTTTCGCCAAACGGTGCGTGCATCTGCTAACTGATTTGTTTCCAAATTGGTTGTTGAAGGAAATTGTTCACTTGGGAAGAAAAGGCAGTAGCTGTTAGGTGAATAGGGAAGCAGTATCAGATTTGAGTAGATACACTTAAAATAGCTGTGACATACTTATCACTATTCAAGTTCTGGTGATCAATAGTTATAGTTGATTTGGGATGTAAATGCTGCATCAGACTAAATTAATTCCTCCCAGTGTTTGACATGCTCTCTTTCTTATAGGTGTGCAATCACCCAGAGCTGTTTGAGCGACAAGAAACTTGGTCTCCATTTCACATCTCCCTAAAGCCATACCAGATTTCAAAGTTCATCTACCGTCATGGACAGATCAGGGTCTTTAACCACTCACGGGACAGGCAAGCCTACTCCACTTCCTCTCCAGCTTAGCATATTTAATATTATTACTTAGATTTATTTTAGCTTTGTAAGTGCTAATTAACTCCCTTGCCTGATGTGCTTAACTGACGTTGGCCAAGCGGCGCATTCCTTGTTCTCTTTCGTTCGTTCAGCTGTTAAGCATCTGATATCTTATGCTGTTTCTTGGTGGAATCCTGATCATCAAATATCCCTTTGATGGAATAAGTCAGGAGAAGGAATTTAGAGTTGTTGCTGATGATATGTAATAGAATTAAGCTTTAAAAGACTTCTTAAAAAAAACCCCAAAACCACTGGTTTCCCTTCAGTGGGTTTTTGTGTTTCAGGAAGATATCAGTATCTGTCTGTTGAGACATGATATACTGTGAGCGTCTACTAGTGCCTTGATAGCTTTTAATGCTTACCTTGGATGAACAGAAGCTGCCTGAGTGCAGTTTGCTGTTTTCTGATGGTGACAATTCTTGATTAATTTTCTTTGCATTCAGTTATGAGAAATGCTCAGGGTAGAGATGAGAAAACCATGTTTGAAGATGAGGCTAACTGTTCTACAATGTAAAATGCAATTCCAGAACAATGGTGTGCCTCAGTGTCAAATTAACAGCAGTGCATGTGGACTGGTGATGCTTTTATTTTCCTGCCATGCGGTTCCAGATATGCAGAGTGCTGAAATACTTAGAATAAAGAACTGAATGGTTACTCTGCATTTTCTGCTGATTGTGTGATTGAACATTGTATGTGTTAACATCTTCTTAGTGATTTTGTTTGGGTTTGTTGCTTTCATTTTCAGGTGGTTACGGGTTTTACTTTCACCGTTTGCACCAGACCACATCCAGCAGTCTCTCTTCCATAGGAAGGGTAGGTTTATGGACCTGGGAAGCAAGTTGGGTTGCACACTTGCGTGTGGTGTTGTAATATGGCTTATTCAGAGACAAGGACTGAGAGGCCAGATCAATTAGTCTTCTGAGATAATCTGATTAGAACTTGTTAGAATTTTGTTAGAGTTTGTGCTTATACATGTATTTCATTTGCTCAATGAGGAAAGGATGGAAGCAGCTGGAATAATCGATGGACAACTTGTTATTCAGTTAGTGCTTAATCCTACTGCGTCCTCTGGTTCCGTTTCTCCTGTAGCATTTTAACTTGCTTCAAGGGGTTAATGCTGCCTTTTTAGTCTAATATGAATTTTTCATAGATTCAATTCGGAGAAATCTTGTATTCATTTCAGTACATTCTGTATTGTATGTTAAACTGCCAACTTCTCCCTCAAGTAAAAAGTAGATGGGATACACGTAACCCAAGATCATCTAATCAATCAGCAAAAAACCCACATGAGCTGTTTATATTGACAAATACGAGTTATTATTATAGATTATTTTTTTTTCCACTAAAAAGAGCTAACTAGATTGCTCAGCTGCTGGGGTGGGAAAAACTTTGGGAGGAAAAAACCCAAGAGAGCTACCGGCTGTATTACAGTGCTGAAATCTGTTAGCACGGACCTGTTCAGCTATGCAAAACACTTTACAAGTAAGAAGAACCAGATGCTGCTACAGAAGTCTGCACTTGGTTGTAACTCTCTAACTTCTGTATTTGTATTCTGTCTGGTTTGCTGATTCATAGAATCACAGAATAGCTTGGGTTGGAAGAGAACTTTAAAGGTGATCTAGTCCAAGCCACCTGCAATGAGCAGGGACATCTTCAGCTAGATCAGGTTGCTCAGAATTCCCCTCAACCCGACCTTGAATGTTTCCAGGGATGGGGCATCTACCACCTCTCTGGGCAACCTGTTCCAGTGTTTCACCACCCTCGTAAAAAATTTCTTCCTTATCTCTAGTCTAAATCTACCCTCTTTTAGTTTAAAGCCATTACCCCTTGTCCTATCACAACAGGCCCTGCTAAAAAAGTTTGTCCCCATCTTTCTTACAGGCCCCCTTTCAGCACTGGAAGGCTGCTATAAGGTCTTCCTGGAGCCTTCTCTTCTCCAGGCTGAACAACCCCAAGTCTCTCAGCCTGTCCTCGTAGGAGAGGTGTTCCATCCCTCTGATCAATTTTGCGACCCAACATGTTGTAGCCGTCGATAGCCGCGCTCCAGTCCATCCCACCAAGTTTCAGTAATGGCAACTAGGTTGCAGCTTTCTAGCAGCATGGTGGCTTCCAGCTCCTACTGTTTGTTGGCCATGCTGCGTGCATTGGTGGAGAGAATTAGAACCAGATTATTCTGGTCTCTCTTTGTTTTGGTATTCATTATAGGCTTTTTCTTGGGGACCTGGTCTGGCGTACTGTAAAAGGAAAATAATTTTGGAAATATAATTTTTGTGTAGAAGTTAAAAAATAAAAAGATGTAAATGGTAGTGGCATATGCAGTGCACATGGGTGGGCCTGAAAGGCTTTCTTCATTAACAGTGGAGCATATCTCTCTGTTCCCCACCCTTCACTGCCGTGTATCCATCATCCTCACCATGTCTGTTGCATCCTTATCCCCATACTGGCATTCCCCAACCAATTCCTACATCTCCTTCCAACCTGTTTGGCTGGCTGGGTGGCAGGGGGCATGTTTGGCAGGTGTCCTGAGGTACGCGTGTTCTGGTCAGCTGTCTGGCAGATACATGTTTGGATTCACGGATGTGCACACTGCCTATTGATTCTTAGTAAGTGAAATCAGTGTCCTTCCTGGCTGCATGGTTTTCTGGCCTAGAACATATTTGTCTGTCTTGGTAAATGCCCTTCTCTTGCCCAGACTGGAAAATGAACTGAAACTTTGAGTTAGGCAACAGCGATTAAAATGAAATTTTTAATATTTCTAAAACATCTAGGTTAAATTAGGATCTCCTGTTTATTCACCTAGATTTGTCATATGCTAGAGAATGCATATTTTGAATTGATGAAGTAAGTTTACTGTTTTCAGCTGTGTCTGTGAAACGTGTTGGCCTAAATTCAGTATTTCTATGACACAGGCATCAGTGAAGAAAGCTGTTTCTCTTTCCTCCGGTTTATTGATGTCTCTCCAGCGGAAATGGCAAACCTCATGAATCAGGGACATTTAGCCAGGTGAGGACAATTTTTTTTTCTTTTAGTAATTATAGGAAAAGTACAGGTGATGTTAGAGGCATCTCTCTGTAAACCTGCATTTTTTTATGCCTCCTAATATTATCATTTGTCAGTTGTTATCTGTTAGATCAACTTTTAGAGTGTTCCTCCAGGTGCAGGGCACCATTATGCCTTTGTCAAAAGAAAACCTCTGTTACAAAGATTTGACATTGTAAATACACAAGACCATCAAAGGGCAACAGAAGAGTTTGCTTATGATCACACTGTACGTTGCTGTTGTATCAAGCGCAAAATCCAGACTTCGGAAGGCCGTTTTATTGCAATGCTTGCCAATTGCACTTGAGCGTATGCTTTAACACACATGGAATAAGCTTGTGCTGTGATACTTGTTCTTCAGCTCTGAGCCATATTGTCTGCTTTCCATATGTCCTTTTTTTAATACAGAATGGAATTCCAAGGGATAGGCTTAGGGTAATGGATTATTAACGCCGCGAACTGTATTTTCTTGGAAAGGGAGGTGATCTGTTTAAGTTATAGTGTACTCTGCAACAGACAATACTTTGACTGAAGTTAGATAGTGACTGTAAGAGATTTGAGATGAAAAGCAAGTCTTAATAAAGGTGTTTTGCTTAGGGCTTTGTATGAGTACTATTCTTTTATTGTTGTGGTTCTTTTGGACTACTGTTCCTTGTCTGTGTTTCAATAACATAATACAAATTTCTCTTGATCTGCCAAAATGATCTTTATGATAAATTCTGCAGTCATTATGCAGGTTGTTATGAATAATTTATATATGGAGCAATTTACAGAGAAGTTGGGAGTGTGATTTGAGGTAGTAGTAATGGCTAACTTGAGATTGACCCTTTTAAACAGAATGCTTCAAAGTGATTTCTGATTTAATCACTTAGATTCAGTTAAGCCACCTTAGAAAAAATTAAAATAAGATTAATATAAGTGGAAGATGTCTAGCAAAAATTATTTCTTTTAAGTCAGGACAAAGTAAACCTGAAATTTTGAAAAGGCATTTGTATCAAATAGGGTTACATTGTAAATATCCTCAAGCCTTTCTTTCACAAAGCAGTGAATAATGTATCTATTGTGTTTTGTTTCAGATGGTTAGCTCTTTTCCTGTCTCTGAAAGCATCCTACAGGCTCCATCACATGCGCTCCTGGATGGAGAGCGAAGGGGAGAAACAGCAGGGGTCACGTTTTCTGAGGAACAGGGATTTCTTGCTTGATGTAAATTTCCCGCTGTCTTTACAGCTGCACTTTGCTGCAGGTAAGCAAAATTTGTGATGTGGAGACTGCTGTAAATCCTCATAAGTGAGAAATGATCAAAATCTTTCTATACTTATAAAACAGAGGAAAACAAACTTGGAAGCAGGTTGACTTCATTATCTGCTTTATTAGATATAATTAATAAAGTTCAGACTGCTAGACAGAAAAATAATTTAACTGCTGTCTTCCTCCCATGTGGTGATACATTTCAAAACTTGCTATAAAAAAGAAAACAGTTGAATTAGAAGTCTTAAAAGTATTACTGGAGCAACAGAAATAGACTCATGATTTGTCAGGGGTGGATTCTACAGGCAAGCTTAAGAGTTTTGTAATGTTTTTACATGTAAGATGCTTGTTTTCTGACTGAAATTAACTCCTGTCTTCTCAAATTCTACACATTGGTACATCAACTGAGGAAGGCAGAGGCTTCAGACTAGCAGTGTTTCAGAGCTGGTGGATAAGCATTGTCAGTGCTCTGAAATTTGCTTCTGCTGCTGTGTGGTAGACTCCAAATGTGTTCGTCTTACTGTGTAATGCAAGGTCATTTTCTCTAAAATTTGCCTGGGATGCGTGTGAAGGTTTTGTCTTTTTTGACTAAATTGCTGTTGATTTCCTGAGTTAGGTTGTAGCTCCATTGATTCGTTTCACTGGGAAATAAGTTCACAAAAGTGCTTGAGTCAGGAAAGCATCTAGGGCAGTTAGTAGATACACAGTAAAAAAAAATCTTTTCTGAAAGATCATGCCAAATTTCTCTAGGGAATATTGCTTCTGTTCATGAGTCTGGAAGGGAAAGGAGATAGCCAGAATTCAATTGAATAGCGTGTAGAGGAAGTTGAAATTGAAGACGCATAAGCAGTAGGAAACCAACCTTGGACTTGGTGTCATGTTTTGCAGTGTTAACAGCAAAGCCAACAAAATGAGTTGTCCTAGTTATCAAACAAAGAGCAAGCCAACTGAGTGTGTATGCCAATTAACTCTGGCTGTGCCGGTGTTTAAATATTCTGTGTTTCCATGTCTGGCTTGATGAAATGTCTATGCTGTATGGATTTGCTTTCGGTTAGGTTTTTTGGAGATTCCATTCAGATGTATGCTGACTGCCTAATGCTTATCTCTGAAAATATACTGTAGCTCTGTCCTCTCACTGGTATGGGTGAGGAAAACGTGTGTGGTGTCATAAATGTTGCCTAACAGTAAAGGAGCAGAAGATGGTATCACAAGTTGAAGGCACTCACAGAAGGTAGCATTCATTTTTACATATGTAGAAAGACAGTCGAGATCTTTACACAGCCTTTGGGTTAGTGTGCGTAAGTATTACAATGAAAGTCATTATATTTACTTAAGGGACAAGATGTGAGTTAAAATTGTAGATATTAAATATGAGATGTGGAATGTGCCCATGTAGGTTTTAATATTAGCAATGAAATGTAAAGGATTTGGATAGGCTACAGACCCACCTGTACCACAGCCTGGCAAGACTTAAACATATAATTTGTGTTCTCCAAGTAATTTCTGTTCTTTGAGGAAGTCATTACTTGTGTCTCAGGGGGTCCCAGTGCTGTGGTTGTGTGTAACTAGTGACTGGTGTAACTAGTACCTTTTACATAGAAAACAGCCGGCTGAGGAGCAAAGTTCATCAGTGTGTGCAGTACAGCGCGTTTGTGATAACCCCAGTAGATCTAAAGGAAGTTTAGCCCTACAGTTTAGCCCGACAGATTCTTTAGAACTCTAACTTGCATGTTAGACAAATTACCACCTGAAGTCGCTTTAAAATCAGATACGTTTGCAGAATTTTGTTTGCACAGCTTACATATAGGACATCTTTTTAAAAAAAAAAAGGAAAAAAAGTGCAAAACCAAAGGGAGAGTTGAAAAACAAACTACCCTTTACATGCCTGTCTTTTAGCAGCATGCATCATGATGGGCGAAACTGAGCTTACTTTTTTTTATCTTAGCCCTAATTTGAGAAACTTTCAATGTAAAATTCCTCAAGGCTTCCTCTAGGGCTTCATAAGATAGTAAGGGAGAGAAGCAGAGGAAAAAGGAAATGGTGTAAATCTGGAAAGGCTTTTCTTAACTGCTCAGATCAGCATTTCCGATGTAAGAGACAAATATGAAAATAAGTCAGTGGACAAAAAAGCATTTATTTTTAATAGATCTTTCTGAAATTGAGGTAACATCTGTCTAAAGATAGCGTGAGTTTCTTCATGTGAACACAGAAATCCCTTGCAGTGTGAGATCTCTTCATTCCCCTTACTCAGAACCTCCACAATGTGTATTAATTTGTACGCATTGTTTAAAATTAATGTTGAGGTGAACCTTCTCTTCTTTGCTTTCCTAACTTTCTTTTCATTTGTTAATGAGCTTGAGATGCTGGCAGCAATCACCCGTGTTTATGTGCAGCTCTGTTTGCAACACTGACTTTGGGTTGCATGGTTGCAGTACATGTGTGCATTCTGATTTTTTAAGGGATCATCTTCTTTGGTTCTTGGCTTTGTTGTACTAAGGTGATCCATTTCAGAGCTGCAGCTGTGTCCAGTTCTGTAACCTTACCCATCTTTTCCATGTATGTGACTGGTGGGAAGCTGGTTTCCGCTGTCCCTGTTATATCTGGTGTCTGCCCTGTTCATCAATACTTGATGGCTGCATGTGTCAGGGAATTCAGAGAGGGGTGTTTCTTATGTGACCTGCTCATAATTTGTATACAGGAAGCACGGAAAATCAGATTAATGCCTGTGTACAAGACCTACTTGTAACTGTTTGTATACAAAAATAACATTTTTCTCTTATTTTGGATACCTTCTTGGAAGTTTTCTTTTATGTTTCTTCCTGGGTACTTCTAATTGAGCTAAAGTAATCTTTGATGGCTCTTTGATATTGTCTTCCAAAAGAGAATCAAATAACAAACTTGCATAGGTTTGGAATTACAGTTTGTTACCTTCCTCTCTATGCATTTCTTGTATTCTGACTTTCCAGGAAATAAAGTTACCAAACCCCTCTAATGACCAGGGCCACAGTCAGTATGCCAGTGCTTGGTGTCCTCAGACTTACTGAAAAACTGCTGTGACTGTGTGCAACGCTGATCCCTCTTTGTAAAATCAGTCATACCCCCAGTGTGCAGGCCAGGGGTGGGGAAGAGAGGGGCTTTGAGCTAAAGCAGTTGTTCCAAGTCTGTCTAGTAGCTGCTGTTTCTAGGAGGGAAGTCACCCTTCCTCGTGACTCTTCCTGTCCTTTTGTTACTCCCAGCTGCTGCACCCTGCCTCCACTGATGCGCGCTCATGCTGTCACATCCCTGTTTAAGCCAATTGCAGAAAACATTCTGTTTTCATGGCTGTTGAATTTGTTCTTTGAGTAGATGTGTAGCTAAATAGTCTTCTGGAGGGGTGTGACAGGATAAAACCAGCACAAGAATTGGCACAAATATGTCACGGGAAGGGGCTCCCCCTTTGCAGCAGCAGCGCGTTTCTGGTCCTCAGATGAGTAAGGCAGCGTTCACATCTGCTGTGCACAGCCGTGTACTCCCAGCCTTGCATTTCCCACTCTGCTGTCTCAGCACACAGCCTGTTTTACCAGATGCTGAAACAGATCACAAAACTAACTTGGAGTGGAGGGGCCAGGGTTTGTTTTCATCTTGATCAGAATCTTAAACAGTACAGACAACTGGGCCAGCAACAAGGGGCTCTGCAGGGACAGGAGTGAACGTGTGAAGCGGTTGTTGCCTAAGCCAGCATTACGGGTAAAAAATTGCCAGCTGAGTAGGAGCCCAGTTTTGGGATCACTTCACATTATGCAGTGTGGCCCAAGCTTTGACCTGTGCTTTCTAGCCCTGCTAAGTGTCAGTGAAAAGCTGTTGTCAGCTCTTTCTGCTCTCATCTTTCATACAGAGGAGCAGATGTTCGGTCAGAGTTTGAACTTTATTTTTGCTAGCTCCAGACCACGAATCACGCTGGTAGCAGCTGCAAGACCCACTTACTACATGCTAGGATTTACTGATTGTATTTCTTAGGTGGTGCTAGCACAAATGTATAGTAAGACTATTTTTCTCCCTTGTTATCGGGTTCCAAATTATGTGGGCTAGTCATCTGCATCTTGCACAGTGCATCTACATTTGGAAATGGAAAGGACCCACAATGCATGATCCATAATAGACTACTGCTGTTGATGTTTTCTCGCATTTTTTGACATATGTAGGAATGCATATATCCAGTGTATGACCTGATATACAAGGAGCCTGCTTCTGTCATGTACCGTGACATTTAGAACTTCAGACACAGGGATTTTAGAAAATTCGGAGGCTCTGTAAAGTAAAACTAGCATGCAGTTAATTTTGGTGCATTAGGAACTGGGGCAGAACAATACCAAAGCTTTAGATACTGTATTTACATTTTACTTAAATGAACTGCTGGAATTGTCAGGAGGGTACATCCTGTGATCCTATGGCAGTTGAGAGGTATACCTCTTCATGTTTCTAAAATTGTTGCTTGTTTCCTATAGTATGCAGAATAACACTCTGCATACTGTAGGAAACAATTATACATAGCAATACATAACAATTGGTCTCTATGAATATAGAAGAATCAGATTAAAACTAAGTAGCAAAAATGGCTTGGTCTATAAGTAGTTTATTTCATTGTTTGATGCAGATATTTACAATAAAGAAGGAAATATAACTGATGCAAGTGAAGAAAATTTACTTTTTTGTTATTTTTCTGTGTAGAGTTAAGCATCTTCAAAGAGCTCTCCTTTCTTTAAGCTGCAGTGTCATCTCAGTGCTCCCTCTTTTGAGTCAATATATTTTTCTGTATGGAAAGGGCATTGATACACTTGTGGCATATTTCAGGTTTTACACATGAGTGTGTTCGTTTATATGAGTAACCATGCTAGCACCTTTAAATTCTTCGGGATAAAATTCAGAGCCATTTTGCATAGGAAAGGAAGAAAAGATGTCAGCCCAGTGTCACTTAGTCTTAATTTTTTTCTTTAACAAATTTCACTTTACCCATGCTTCAGAATAGACAGAGAAGTATCTAGAAAACAGCTTGAAGGCCAGAACTGCTAGGATATTCCTGTACTTCCTTCATTATAAAAGCTAAGGTCAAAAGGTTGAAAGAAGAAAAAACTTATTTTTGGTTCTAACTGAGAGTAAAGGCAAGTATTGATAAGAGGTATTTCAGTTTCAACCGTTTCAGGATTTGAGTGTTCTGATAATTACACAAAGACCCTATACATTGTCACTGCAGAAGATGTATAGCATTTCCTTTTTCAAAGAGAAATGTTTGGTGAATATCTTTTGTCTGTCTTTCTCATGGGTAGTTACAAGATTTATAGACTAAGTAACTTCTTAATTTTAATTTTATTTGCAGAACCTTGTGTTCAGTAGCCACTGTAAAGCAGTTACTGGCTATTCAGATCATGTCATACATCGAAGGAGATCAGCTACCTCATGTGTCCGGTGCTGCCAGGTGACTGAGCTGCCATCCTTCCTGTGCATAGCCAGTCCACGGGTAAGTCCAAGTGAAGTTGTAAATTATGTATTTTCTATTGTGTTTTAAATCTTTTTAGAATTGTGTCATAGGAACAGGATGATCTATTACTTTCTTTTGATTGGGTAAAACTCTTGCAAGGATATCCTTTTGCTACTATATTCAATAGTGGTTTTTTTCATAGGGGAAGTGAAGGGAAAAGGAAAGTTGTAAGATGCACCCTACAGGAGTTATTCTGAGATATGTAGCTTTCACTTTCTCTCCTAATGACAAAAGCAGTAAAATTATAGAAGAGATTGTTAAGTAGATTATTCCCCAGTAATCTAATGGAAAGATGCTTGCGTGATAGGAACAGAATGAGGTGATTGTTTGGTCAACTCTGATGACAAAAAGGGGCTGAGGAGCAATGCTTTTTTGAAAAGGATATTCATTTTCTCTCATTGTGTCAGCTTATGCTCCAAAAAGGAAATGCCAAATGACCATATATAAAGATTACTGAAGTTGGCATTTTCTAAATCTTTTGGATGTTAAGTGGTACTGCTTGGGATTGTCCATTTTTAAATTACTTTAGCTGAAATTTCCTGGGCTGACAGAAGAGACCTCCATAGGTCTATGGATATTGTATTCCATGTTGTTGGATCTTGACAAATCATAGAATCATAGAATGGTTTGCGTTGGAAAGGACCTTAAAGATCGTTGAGTTCCAACTCCCCTGCCACGGGCAGGGACACCTCCCACTAGCCCAGGTTGCTCAAAGCCTCATCCAGCCTGGCCTTGAACACCTCCAGGGATGGGGCATCCACAGCTTCTCAGGGCAACCTTGGCCAGTGCTTCACTGCCAATTTCTTCCTAATATCTAATCTAAGTCTGCCCTCTTCCAGTTTAAATCCATTAACCCTTGTCCTGTTGCTGCATGCCCTTGTAAAAGCTCCTCCCCTCTCTCTTGTAGCCCCCTTTCAGCACTGGAAGGCCACTATAAGGTCCCCGCTGGAGCCTTCTCCAGGCTGAACAACCCCAACTCTCTCAGCTTGTTCTCATGTGGGAGGTGCTCCAGCCCTCTGGCCATCTTCATGTCTCTCCTCTGGACCCACTCCAACAGCTCAATGTCCTTCTTGCACTGGGGGGCCCAGACCTGGATGCAGTGCTCCAGTGGGGTCTCAGGAGAGCAGAGTAGAGGGGCAGAATCCCCTCCCTTGACCTGCTGGCCACGCTTCTCTTGATGCAGCCCAGGCTGCGGTTGGCCTTCTGGGCCTCCAGAAAAAAAGAACGTCCACAGAGGCAGGGCAAGTAAGCATGCTAGAAACTTGGGAGAGTGGCAGTTTATGGGATGATCCTACAGGCCTTCAACTCAAAAGAGTCACAAAGAAGAAAAGAAGCATGCGAGGCAAAGAAATAAAATAAGAAATGAAAAACCCCAGTGAGACTGCTCTCATCATCAGCAAGTATTCCAAATCCTTGTGAGAAGCCAAAACAGCTGCCTGAACTAGGTCCTCCCCCCTCAGAACCCAGTGGAGCCCTAAGCCAGCCTAGAAACTGATGTAGAACCCCTAAGTGATCTAGAAACAGCTCTAGAATGCTATCTAGATCCACAAAGTGCTCTAGAAATTTGTCTGGAATCTGCTCTAGAACATGGTCGAGAAGCCTAAATCTGCCTAGAAACATCTCTGGAATCAGCTCTAGAATGAGATCTAGAACCGTGGTGTTCTCTAGGAAATGGCTCTAGAGTGCGACCTGGAACAATGACGTGGTCTGGAATCGGCTCTAGCATTAAATCTAGAACGACATGGTGATCTAGAATCTATTCAAGAATCAGCTCCAGGAGGCAACCTAGAACCACGAGGTGATCTGGAATTGTCTCTGGAACCTGTTCTAGATCCCTAAAGCCATTTAAATCCTTATCTAGAATCATAAAGCGAGCTAGAACCCAATGTAGAACCCTCTTCTAACACCCTCTCACTGTAATACTTGAGCAGAGCTAAAGCAATGATATATTTAATTCTACAGTGCTTCTAGGGAAGAGTGGTAGAGGTAGTAAAGCCTTTCTTGTGAATCAAGTGATTTTGAACACCCAAGATGAGATACCTACAACTTCAGTATTTCCATATTGTGTCCAAATTGTAGTTCTCCTCTTAGAAATGCAGCCCTGGATGGCACCTCCCAGACCATGCAATCCAGGGTCCTGTACTTGCAGGCAATGCCTTTGTAGGCTCCCTTTCTTCAATTGCTCATCCTTCACCTTAAAGCTAATTGAGTTATTTTGGCTTCATGGCATCACATGGAAGCCTGTGTGAGGACCTCATCGCTTTGATAGTAGAAAGAGCTTCTCATTTTCAGTCTAGATTGACTCCCAGACATTTAAAAATTATTTACTATTGTGCTAAACCGACTTTTGAAATAAACTCTTTTCCTTCTGTGAGGTATTTACAGATAGCAATTCTAGCTTTTGTCAGCTTTTTCATTGCTAGGCTAAACAAGACAAATTCAGTCTTCTCTCAGAAGACACACAGTCTGCTCCCTCTGTTTCCAGTGGTGTCCCTGCCCGGCTCCTCTTCCATTTGAAACACATTGCTCCTAAAATGGGGAAACTGGGTCTGGACCTGTAAGCCCAAAGCTCCCACACAAAGCTGGACAAAATATACTCTTATTACCAGGCCATCCAGATGTTATATTCTGTAGTCAGTGTTGGTGTTATGCTGTAGGCTTGATCAAATGGGGCCTTGTGCAGTTAGGCATTCACACCTGGAGAATGGTGGATGGCGAGTAGGGCTCTGTGTTTCTGCTGCTGCTCAAGCTGAATTAATCTGTGTCCATAGCTCTAGGGGTCAGGAATCCAGCAGAACTTCTCCAAGTCAGCTATCACCTCCCAGTCACAACATATTACCTGCTTCAAGAGCAAGCAGTTATTCTGAGAGTAAATTGAGGCACACTTCTCTTCAGAATCCTTTGATTTGTAACTCTTTGTACCTACATTTGCATTATGGATTAAGAATATGTTGAACACTTCCCCTACATCAGGAAGGGAAGAGAGGGGCTTGAAGGCTACGTATGAAAGCGAAGGGAAAGGCGAGGAGAGATCATATCTGACATTTATCCTAGTGAATGAAAGTTACTTGTTTTGGCTTGGCTGGTGTATAAAAATGATCAAGTGAAGGCATGGCTTTTTGTTTCTTGGAATACAAAGACTTAATTTTACGCTTGCTAGAAACTTTTGGCAGGAGCCTAGAAGACCTGAAACAGCAGAAAGAGCACATATGTTCTCAGAAACTATAGCCGCCTGTTGTTGTTTGACCTGTGATGAATTTTGGGAAGTTAATGGAGCGAATGATAGAAATAGGAGCATATGTTTACGTAGCAGCTATGAGGTGTTGAGGGGTCATCAGTGTTGTAGTTTTCTTTCTGTGCAGGCAATTTTCCTGAGCACAGATAGGTCTCAGTAACAAAAAAGTGTATTGGAGGATAGATCTTGTATTCTCATTAATAAGCCGATTAATTCAGTTTCGAGTAATATTGTTTGGTTTAGTTTCAATAGATCCCACTGCCTCAGAGGTATTATGGTAAGAAGTGGGTTTGGGCATCTCACAGCATCTGAAAGGTTAACTTTGCACAGAGATAAATACAGGAAGAAATTTAACAGTTACCCTAACTAAACTGCGTTACTGAATGCAAGGTGGCAATGTATTCATATATCCCTGTCACTGTATGTTTGATGTATTTCTGAACCATGACTGTTACATTCAATCAGTTTGACAGTAAGGTGTTCACATAGGAGGGTTTAGTACTAAGGAATACCCTACCTTATGAGTGAAACCACAAAAACAAACCTGGGGAAAAAAAAAGTAAAAAACTGCACCATGACAAATAGGAGAGAGGAGGAGCACAAAGAAGCTTGAGTGGAAGTTTTTATCTGTTTCAGAAATATGTTGGTTTTTCTTGTAAGGCCATTTAAAAGATGCAGAGCTCTCCCCTAGAAGTGTGTGCCTGCATTTTAAAAAGTGTGGAGCTGACAGTCAGGATAGGCTTATGTCCTCGGATGTCAGTCAGTGCTACACAGGCTACATGGAAGACTAGTTCTTGTTAATGTAGAAATTGCACCGAGGCACACAGAGTTCGTTTTACAGTTGTCTCTACCTGGCTCTTCCTTTAGGTGAGGCATTACTGAAATGTGGCTTGTGGAATTTTATGATGTAACTTTGTTTTTCTTTTAAAAATCCTAGTATATGAATCTCCATGTTGATTTCAGTAGATAAGCCATGTTTCTGTCTCAGAAATTAGTCTGCTCTGTTTTGTGTGTAGTGGCTGTCCTGGAGGTGTCCTGGGAATATGACAAGTTGTCTGTTCTTGAAAGAATATTCATTCCAGTCTGTCCAGTGTAGAAATATGAACTGAAATGTGATGGTTAATAGTGTCCCTTAAGCAAGTTAAGTCTGTACCATCGTTTGCAGTGTACATCAGTTTTCAGGCGACAAGACTTGCTTGCATTTTGAATTGCGAGGTTTTGCCCTATCCCACAAAAGTCAGTCCTGTGCTTTGGCTGCAGGTGGCAGTACAGGACAGCATCAACTCTTAACAGTATCTTTAGTGGAAATGTGTACGAAGTCTTAACACAGTCCCTTTCACTTGGCAATGTTTCATATGGCTGTGTGTATAGACCCATAAGCCAGTCTGGTTAAAAAATAGCTCTTGGCATATTGCAAAACAACGGCTTTACCGTTACTGCTAAGATTTTGGATGCTTTTTTGGATTTATTTCGATATGTACTATAATTGTGATCATCAATCTGTTTAAACAATTGTTTGGCCCTTGCAAAGAGAAGTGTCTGTTTGCGAGATGCGTTTATTCCTATGAGAAGAGCTCTGTAAAACAGGAGTGGACCACAGGCTTCCACCTGGAAGATCTTGCTTAATGCCTTTCACTTTGAGTTAGCTGGTAAGTGTTCAGAGAGGAGCAGCCAGCATCTAAGATATCAGGCAGTCTGGCCTGAGGTATGGGTTGCTCCCTTCACCTTACAATTCTAAAGTACAATATTTTAAACTGGTTAAATTATTCTGTTGCTTATCATTTAGTTAAGCCATTATTTATTATTTTTGGTATCTAGCAGTTCATTTTGGCATGCTAGAGTAAGGTGAAACAAAAAATGAGAACCCCTTCAAACACAAAGCTTTTCATCTGCAGTACAAAGATAATTATTTTACTGTATTTCAGTTGTCCCATTGTCACACTAATTCCCACCCCTACTCAGTTCTCCATAAACTCCACTGCTTACTGTTCACCTTGAAAGCCTACAGACTTCCTTTTTTCAAATGTGAAAACTTTAACAAGTTTGATTTCCTCTGTGTTCATTTTCATTTGTTTCATTGCTTTTCATAGTCCCATAGATGATGTCATTTTGCACACTGTTAGGATTCGTGACAGTGTTTTTAATTTTCATGAATTTACATGGATGATTTTTTTTTAATTGTACTTCTGAAATAAAAGCAGCAGTGACTTCTAAAGTAATGACATATTTGCTTTCTATATTGGTGAAGAAACCTACAAAGCGTTGCAAATTTATAGCTTTTCTCTAAGCCCATACTGTAAGGTTAATTGTCTAATATTAAATTTCAGTTTCATTTTTATGTGAATTTACAATGCATTATTAAGTCTCTAGATAGCTTGTAAAAGTCTCTACTTGCTTTCTTTTGTAAACTTGGTTATAAATAGCCTTTGTAAACACCCCAGAATGTTAGCCCGAAACAGACTTATATTCAAAAAAGAGAGAAATTGGCGATCTGCATTTCATTGGAAACACTCTTGTGCTAGATAGTGAATTATTGTGTATTTATATTTGCGTGAAAGTGTTGTAATAGTATTTGCTTTGGATCATACGATTTAACTCTTGGTGCAGTATCTGAAGAGAAACCCAGCAGAGTAGGCTGTCCTGCTGTGTGTGCCATGGGTCAGTTCCGCTTTTGGTTTTTATTACTGCAGTGTCTTGAAGTTGTCCCTTACCCTGGTAAGAGAGCGATAAGAGAAAGCTATAGCTTGTATGAAGGACAGCCTTGTCTGCTGGAAGAGACTCTGCTCGAGGACCTTATAGCCGTCGGCATACAGCTGTTTGGCTAACGTGGACCTTCCCCTCTCTGTACAGATTTGGGTGGATGGAGCAGAGCAGGGGGAGTTGAAGTGATGGAGCCCTTCCAGAATAGCTCACACAGCGTGAAATCAGAGTTCCTGTGTTTGTAACACTGGTTTGTCCATCTGGGTTGTATATAGTGAAGCAGGTAGTAGAGCAAGGGATTCATAGAGTGGCCACAAGAAAAAGATCACCCTCTGCTCACTTGCGTTATTTCTGTGGGCCATTTCTTTTCAAATCTGCTGTCAAGCCCAAGAAATGAGCTGTTCCAAAACAGGGCTGTTTTCCCCTTCCTTTTTTTTCCTTTCTAGTTTATATATCTTCCTAATTTTAAATTATCACATGAATTTCTGTTAAGGATGGTATGTAAATCTCATCTCTGCTAGGTAAATACTTGATTGTGAAGGGCAAAAATAAAAATTAAAAAATAATAAAAAAAATCTAGGCAAAATGAGAGGTGCAGCGAGGATATTATTCTTTTACTCTCAGCTTTGCTATCAGTTGTGTAGCAATTGGCACAAGGCTTGGTTTCTCGAAAGGCAAGGCAAGGAGTCCATGATCCTGTGGGAAGATACATGAACTGGGATTTGGAGATGAGGGGAAATCTGAACATGAATATTGATCATTATTTTACTTGTAGGTAACAGCTGTGCCGCTGGAGTTCTACTGCAATGACCGAAGTGCAGAATATGAGCGCAGGGCACTAAAAGAAGGAGGAAGTCTCGAAGCCAAGCAGTGTGTGCTCCATGGAGCCCCGGAGCTGGCAGCCGACTGGCTGAAGCAGTCCTCCCGGTTCTTCCCAGAGTACCCAGGAGGGCTCTTAGGGATCAGGCCTCAGAACGGCTGGTCTTTTATCAGAATACCAGGTAAGTTTGGAGATTGTCATGGAACAGAGATGAGATAAATAAGGACATCTGCTCTTTGGTGGTAATTATGCTTGATAACGGGCTTTTTGAGGGCGTGGGAGTGGTTGTGTGTTTGTTTTTCCTCCTGAGTGAAAGTTAACCCTGGTTTCACATCCTCTGTCTGGATGCATACTGAACAGGTCTAATACAAACTTTTCTAATGCTTACAAACCTCTCTTAGCATGTCAGCTCTCCAAATGACTGCAAAGAGGTGGATTTGTGTACTAAAGCAATGGATTTGTGTACTAAAGCACACTATACTCTCACAGCCAAATACTGTTTTGAGGTTGGAAGTAGGAAGATTGCAGGAAAAGTAACAGTCATACCTTGCCTCCTGGTGTGCTGGAAGACCTTCTTTTGTTGGTCTTCCTAGTGAAAGGACAAACATTGCTTGTAGCAGTCTGCCATGAGAAGGATAGGTTTGGGGACCAAGTCTGGAGGAAGCTGGTCTGGAAAACAAGCCATGAGGGATATACTGAGTTTCAGTTGGAATAGAGAAAACTTTTATTTCCTGGTAAAGTGGGAAAAAGGTGCCAGTGTACTAGTAAAGTAAATGCACTTGATTTTTTTCCTAGATTTAGACTAAAATAATCCAAAATTTGCTAGAATTTGATTGCCAATGCTGCAGTGACTTTCATGGGCCGGACACACTCTAGCTGTCGGAAGATGGTCCTGGGCAGTGAGTTGCCAATACTGCAGTGACTTTCATGGGCTGTCGGAAGATGGTCCTGGGCAGTGAGCAGAGTTCTGCAGAAAGTACTAGAGATCTGAGAGATAGCCAAGAGGAAAAACAGCTTACACTGCCAGATGCTAAGTTATTCCCAGACCCTTTTGGGTCAAGGATGTTTGGCAGGGGAAGTTAGTACAGTAAAAGGAAAATGGCCTTTTGCTTACTACATTCTGGTTTAAGAAGGTACCTGATAAGTACTTGGAGTCATTTGAACCGCATGCAGTTTGTACCTATGTGACGGAGAAACCATTTTTCATGAGCTTGTACTAGATTAATGCTCAATGACCGCTGATGATTTTATAGTTTCTTCAGGAATTCATTGAATTGTTTATCAATTATTTGGAAGAAGAAAATGAATCGCTGTAGCAGAAAGGAGGGAAATAGTGAGGGGGAAAATTAAGGTAGAAGGCGTGGATAGAGAAATAAAGAAAAGTAGCCGATGTAGAATAGAGAAATGAAGAGAAGTAGCTGATACAGAATAGAGAGAGAGGGCTGTGTTCTCTTGAAAAGACTTCCATTTTAAGCTGATGACTTTGTCATCAGCAAAAATTTGTAGAGAAATAAAGATGGGGTACAAGAAGCTTACAGGAGTGTGTGAATAGGTGCAAGGTCAGGCAAATTGTTGTCTAAGCACAACAAATAATTTGATTGAGAACGTGGTTGGGGTGAGTGTTCTATGTAAGGCTGACTTAGGAGGTGTTGGAGCTAAAAGTGAGTTTAAAAAGAAGTAGTTTTGTACAGGTGTGTTTTAATTAGGTGGAAGGTAGCATTCAAACCTAAACTTACTCTAGGAGGAGAGGGCACATAGGACAACAGGGCAGCTGTGTTTGTGTGTGCAGGAGCAGGCACAGTGCATTACAGGAAGGGGCTGATGGGCTGAAGGAGCAGTTTACAAGGCTGAAGTCTAGCAGGTGTCAAATAGAACAGTAGGTGTGAAGGTCTGTGGTAAATAGGTGACAAGAAGAAAAGGGGATACCTTTCTCCCCTAACCCCGGTCTATCCTCTCCCAGACTCGGTGTTCCCAGTACCCTGGCAGGAGACTCAGCTGCGATCACTGTGGGAATCTCTTGAGGCTTTTCCTGTTCTTTGAAAGAAAAATGGTCCTGGATTAAATGGCAGGAAGTGTCTGAGTCCTTTTAGCATCGATAAAAAGCACCGGCCTCACTGGCTGTTTACTGTGAGAGCCAGCTAGCTCCTCACTGACCCCATTGTGCCGTGCAGACTGTCGGGAGGGGAACCAGGGGTGTCAACTGGAACCCACACTTTATCTCTCTTTCCTCTGCTTTTTGCATGTCCAGAAGCACTTTTTCTCATTCTCCAGAGAGCGGTGAGCCCAGCTACAGCCATCAGCCAGAGCTCCTGACTGGGGTTATTTTGAGTCATAATCGTTTGTAACTATTCTTCCCAGGCCATAGGATCCCACTGCATCCCCTTGTAGATAACTTATGTCCATATCTCTGCATGGCTGGAAGCAGGGACTTTTTTTTTTTTTTTTCCAGACTGGAAGCCGTACAATATGATTTTACAGTTACTTTCTTTTTGGTCTGGTTCTCTTTGCTTGTTTGTTTCACACAGTGCTGAAGAACCCAAAAATTTTATCTTAGGGAGAGTTCTTGGACATGCAGTCCAGGATCTCTGGCTTAAAATTTTAAAAGTTCCTTTGATGCTATTAAAAAAAAAAAAAAAAAACAAAAAAAAAACCATAAATACATTGTCGTTGGAAGTTTTCACCAATCCTTAAAAATGGAAAATGTCGAATTGCAAGTTTTGGAAATTCCGTTTGAAAAAGATCAACCCACCTTTTTTTCCTCCCAAGGTAAAAGGGAATGAGCAATAGCAGTGAGAGAAACTCAAGGTGAAAGACTTTTTTTTTTTTTCCTCCCCTCTTTTGAGTAATTGTGGTGTTTTCTGAAGATGGGATGAATAAAGAAGTACATTTTCTGTTACGGCTTTCCAGAATTTGTCCTTTGAAGCACTAGGTGGCAGGCTTTAAACATGCAAAAATATTTGATCTTGGAAAACACAATGGTATCGAGATAGCACGCTTAAAGATGCCAGGTTAAAGTCAAATGGCTTTCTCTTCCAGAGATGATAAATCTTTTTTTGTTAGTTCTGTTTTGCTTTCTTAAAAAAAAAACCTCATGCTTTCTCACCGGTTCAGTCTGCTCTGATGCTGAAATATTGGACAAATTATGAACTGTTAACAAGTTGCTAAGTTTTCAGACTGTAAGACTGTCTGCAACTAAGTTCTTTACTTTTAATTTGCATTTGATTGCTATTTAAAAATAGTAACTTACACAATGGAGACCTAAGGAGCCAGCAGCAAAGGACACGCATCATTTCCAGTTACCAAAACTTAATTCTACCTATTCATGCCTGTGTGAGAACAACAGTAGCATTTTGCTTTGGAAACTTGCTAATGTGTTAATCTGAGTCAGTCGAGGTTGACTTTTGAACAGACCCTGTTTGTTCTCTCAGTTTCCTTCCAGTCAGATGACTTTTAGTTAATAATCATATTAGTTTGTCATATATATCTAGACTTTTCATGTAGCTTCACTCAAGTCATTCTGAAATAGCAAGCAAGCTGATCAATTAGAATAAAAGCAGAATGTCATGGCTGTATGGATTTAAAGGAAAGAAAAACATTATGTATAAAGAGTAAACATGCCTACTCTGCAGAGTTTTTGACTTAGAGATATTTTAAAACAAAATAACCATAAGTTGTTTCAATTTTTACTTAATTGCCTAAGTTCAAAGTTTGGTTTTCCTTGGAAGAGTGCATGAAACTATTAACTATTTGTATATAATTGAGATGGAGTTTTGTTCTAAAGACGAATGCCTCATGATACATTATGTTGCACTTTGAAAAAATATCAGCCTGAGCTGTGATCTTGAGTTTTCCTTACAGTATCTCCTTGGCTTGGCTCTCTAGTCAACAGATTCGCTAAGGTAGTTGCTAACGATTCACGCAATGATGTGGCACTTGCTCCTGGAAAAGCAACAAGATCACCATTAAAAGGGAGAGCAAATCAGATAAAAACAGTGTCTGTCTGGATAGGCAAGACAAGCAAGAAAGAGCAGAGCTCTCTTGCCTTGGGTTCTCAGGTGGTGAATTGCAGGAGCATGACTCTAAACTTGTCAAAGGCAAGAGTGTTCACAGCATTGGCTTATAGTGCAAATAGCTAATAATTTTAAGTGATATTAACAACTCACAACATTTTGAATTTGAGAAAGCAGGACTGTTGGCTGCATCTTCTGATGTCCTAATGTAGATCCCACTAATTCCAGCATCAAGTCCTTTTTTGTATTTAAGCTCAAGTATATTTTTGAAAGAGATCTTGGTTGAAATACTGAAATGATGAAGAATCCACCATGATTCTGGATAAAAGTGTTGCTGACTAGTTTTTCCTCACTCTTGGAAAGATAAGAAGGAAGCGTGCTGTGTTCTTACAGTTTCAACAAGTCACTGGATACTGTGCCCTTCTCTGCTAGTATAAAGTTCTCTTCTGTTCTTAAAAACCTTTGTCCAAAAGAAGAACATTGAATAGTGCCAACTGCTCTTTGAAAAATTGAAATGGATCAAGTTTCTGAACTCTCTCACTACAGGAAAGGTTTTTTAACACACTGAAATATTGGAGATTTTCCTGATCGCTTTCTGGTTTTTACAACCTTTCTGAAAGGCACAGTAAACCTAGGCATGTTATTTCAAAATGATTTTTGAATGAAGTATAGAAGAACAACTATGTTCCTGCTTTTTCTCAGCAAACCCTTGGTTGTGTGTGCAAGAATCAAAACCCAGCCTTTAGTGCCACATCACTGCACTTGGGCACTCCTGGACTGTGTTGCCTGCCATGCTGATAAGATCTTTTTAGAAGCACTGTTGTGTGATGTGTGCTCCTCTGTTCCACTAGTATGATGTTGGTTTTAGCTATATTAAAATGCATGGTGCTCAGATTAATTAATTAATTTTTGTATATACCCTTTTTAAAAATATTGTATAAGACAGTTAGCTGCCTTACAGAAAGCTGAATTTTCTTCAGCCCATGACTTAATTCATACTGTGCAATAAGAAGTGTGCAGAAGTGGTACCTGCTAGACGCTAGAGAATGCTACCTGCTAGACATGTCGAAAATATTTGGGTTCTGTACTAGCCTGCACCATCTGCAGTTGTCAACTTTCCGTTTTGGCTGTAAACCTAAATTCAGACATCCCAAAGAATAAAGAATCATCAGTGGCCTTTCCAACAGATAATTTTTTGGAAGAAAATTTCTCTTCATCCTCTTTCAACAGTAGTGTATTGTTTACTGAAGTTTATGTACAGAATGTACAAACAGGAAGATCTCCTTCCTGAAAAATACTTCATGAGCAGTGCTGAATTAGAGAGGACATGAAATATAAAATCTGAAGTGACTTTAAAAATTGCCATCTGGAAACACTTCTTAAACAAACAAAAAAACCACCCAAACCCCCCCCCAAAAAAAAAAAAAAAAAAACAAAAACAAAAAAAACCCAAAAAACCCCCAAAGCCACCCCCCCAAAAAAAAAACCCCAAAAAACCAAACCAAAACAAAAACCAAAACAAACACCAAACCCTACCACCCCAACAACCCCAAAAGCAGAGGGGAGGGAAGAAAAAGAAAAGTTAGGCAGTGCTGTGAAGGGGCTGTTATTTTACGGTGACCTAGAGAACTGTTTTTCACATTCCATGTTGGTGAGGGGTTTTGTCTTGAAACTAGATTTGTGGAAGATAAGTCTAAAGCTCAGCAGCAGGTAGCAGCAAATGCCCAAAGGGTAGCATTTTAACGTGTGAAATGGAGAAGAATTTCAGCTGTCAAGGCATGTTGCAGTTGTTGAGCCAGTCAGGATGAATCCTTAGATGGGGGAAATGGCTGTCCACAAAAGGATTGAGTCTGTACTCATGAGGACATCAATCTGTGATTAGATTTTGCCAAGTGGATATATTCGTATACTCCCTTCCCAGCAAACAGAAGTTATTATTAGTGTGGTTTTAAGTGTCAGCCAGAAGGGATGTTGCAGTTTCTTCCATCACAGCTCGTTACTTTAGGGATTATAGTGCAGTGAAGTGCTATTAAAACTCAGGAGTTAACTTGTTGCATGTAGCTCTTTTGGCTTTATTAGTTACCTGCTTTTCTTCCGTTTATTTTTAGACAAAGAGAGTCTGATCACTGACAGTGGAAAACTTCATGCTCTTGATCTTCTGTTGACACGGCTGAAATCTCAAGGACACAGAGTTCTCATCTACTCCCAGATGACGCGGATGATTGACTTACTGGAGGTACGGTAGCTATAGCCTACAGAAGACAAATTCTGAAGATGCAGATTTAGCAACAATGTTTTGGAGAAAATACTGTAATTTGGATGCATCAAACCTGATGTAAAATTGTTATACTGAAGGATACCCAGATACCAAACTTAGATCTAAAGTCCAGCCTAGTATCGTGCTTACACCAGTGTACAACAGCAGAAGGTATAGGGAAAATGTACAAGAATAGTGATACTTCACAATTAGTCTCTGTGTCCAGCAGTTTGCAGCTCAAGGGCTTTCTGAGCCAAATGTGCCTTCTGGATATTCAGTAATCCTAAATGGATTCTTCTTCCATCAAATTGTTCAGTTGCATCTTGAGTCTTTGTAAATTTTTTTATTTGCATTGCCCTGTGCCAGGGGCTTGCATAGCTTAATTATCCTCTTTGCTGGCTTTGAACCGCTTCCTTCTACTGTAATTTGATGCCCATGGAAGGAAGAGGGAGAACAGTGATTAATTGCGCTTCCTTCTACTTTAATTTGATGCCCACATGTCCTTTTATTGGAAGGAAGAGGGAGAACAGTGATTAAT